ATAACTTCCTTCTGAAAACTAGAAACTTTTTCCTCTGAAAGACCCAGGGGACAACAATTTTCAATCCCATCCTAATATCCCACTGTTTCTTCGTCTGCACTGGAAGGCAGTTCGTTCACACTGCCTTCCAGTACAGTTGTATAATTTTATCTCAATATAATCCATAATTTCTATGGCATTAAAACTATATGATCTTACGTCTTGACTCAATTAATGTCGAATTGATCCCCAGTTAATCCTAAACTAGTTTACAAATGTTTTGAATTTAAGAAATCGCCTGTTCTCATTTAAAAAATATTATTTACCCGAAATGAATAGGTTTTTTGCCGTCAATTTCAGAGATTCTTCATGTAAAATTGAATAAATCTTCTGTTATTTCAATAAAAATGCATACGAGACTGCTGAGTTCTTCAAAATCCATAACTTCCTTCTGAAAACTAGAAACTTTTTCCTCTGAAAGACCCAGGGGACAACAATTTTCAATCCCATCCTAATATCCCACTGTTTCTTCGTCTACACTGGAAGGCAGTTCGTTCACACTGACAATGGAGGCGTACAAGTACCCAGACGGCCGTAAAGTAGTCTCCGACGGCATGTCCTTGACGCCATTGATTTCTCTGCATTTTCCGGAATTTCATTTCGTCAAGCCATTGTTTTTTTTTCACTCCTCTCTCGTTCGCTGGGCACGTCGTCAAGATTGCCCGAGTGAGTACACGCGGGATAATAATTAGTAGGTCACAGTGCGATTAAGCGCACAACAGAAACGCCCGATTCCCCCCTTCACATGGCCATATGCTTCATTAATTATTTCGTTAAACCCTGTTGGCACGTTTGCATTATGCATAATTTATCCTCCGGGTGTGCAATTTTTTTTTCCATCGCAGCCAGTAAATTCATGTTTACGTTTTCTATTATTCCGTTTGAAATTCATAGGATTTTTTTTCTCTCCCACTCGTGTTCAGAATAAACATGAGTTTTCCAGAAATGCAGAAAAAGCCAGCGCTCACGAATCTTTTCTAGGTCCCCCCGATATAGGTTAATGACTCTAAACACGATGGTGCTTTGCACTGCTGTAGGATACACAATCCTCTGAATTGAAAAAGAAGTTGACTCAACTCATGTGGAACATGAAAAAAAAAAATCTTTGTTGAAGACACATTGCCACATTCGCTGAATACACAGAGGCCTTTGTAAAAAATCATGAAGGCTCGCGTTCATAACGATTGGCAGATATCAGTCCAAGATAAATACCCATCTCCTTTCAACGTAAAAACCGAACGAATAGCTTCAAGGATATCTCAGCACTACAGCATTTTTTTTTTTTTCAACACTTGTAATTAAACATCAGACCTTTCAATTGGTCCGTATTGTTGGAAAACATTTTTAAGTAAACTATTATGCAAGAAGTCATTGAAATGGCAATGGTTATCCGATAAATTTCAACCCCATTTGGCCCGTACATTTCACAATATTTCACAACATTATACTATATATAGTCCCTCATATAGCCCCTCGGAGAAAATAGTCAAAATTTACAATATTTAATATGATGTCAGTGTTTTCAAGACGAACAAACAGGAGGAACAAATAAAACAAAGACTTTTTATACGGAAGAAGGGCTACACGAGGGGCTACATATAGCCCGTCAGTCTTTTTCATAAGTTGTTCTAAATTCATAAAAAGGGTTATGAAGCAATAAGAAATTATTTAAACAAATATCCATAAACAATAATATGATTTATTTAAGAGAAGCGCGATTGAGCCTTTAAAATTTGGTAATTCAAGGCTTGCATCGATTCCCATTAGTTATCAAAAAAAGAAACTGAGTGATGTTTTTTCATAATTTCCCTTGAGCAACTAAATTTCAAAATTATTGCAAACCATCAAATGCACAGTGCAATCTCTAATACCTTGCAAGAAGTACTTATCCATCCTCAAACGAAATAGACCAAAAAATGTATTCAACTCACGCGTATGCAAGGCGCTAACGGCGGAAGTTTGACGCCCGCAAGAGTACGCAGAGTACTTCATCAGTCGTATATTTCAAGGACATAACAGCAGAACAGAGCGCAAAGAATGCTTGAAAAATCCAACCCGAGTTTCCCACAACAGCTCCCACTAGAGCCAGAAAAATGAATAAAAACCTCGGAAACGAGGCTAAAAGCGCCCAGAGAAAAAAAGAGCTTCTATTTTTAATGCAAAGACCGATGCACTCTAAACGGATCACCTAACAGTCATACGCAGCGGAGGAAAAAAAAAGAGGGTGAAAGACACCCCGTCGGTGTTTCCCTCCCCCATTCGTAATATTTGCAATGGGGTCGTTATCGATCGAGACTCGACAAGTAACGATGCGAGACGCGCCTTATGTGCTCCCATCACCCAACAATGTCTCCTGTCCCATAAATATCATTATCCAGCGGCTATAACTCTTACTACCGTGCCTCTCGATTTAACTTGTTCACTGCTCATTCGCGAAGACCCTGATGATAGTTCCGAAGCCTAGACGAGTGCTCAGACACCATGGGCGTTAGTAATAGCAAAGTCTCAGTCCTGTCAGCTCTATCCGGTTTCCAGTTCTCAAACAACATCGATAGACACGTTATACCGTCAATGAACCTCGCCAACGCATGATTTTTATTAATAGGAGGGACACAGATAACGATAGGTGGAATGACCACACCCTTTTCCTCTTGGAACTGGGAAGAACTTGTTTTTTCTAGGGGGGATTACTCGCGGAGTTTTAATCACATGAAATTATTATGAATTTTCGCAAAATGTTTTCAAGATTCCTTCGATTTCTTAAATGATTTTTTCTATGATTCTCTGGAGACTTCATCAAATTTTTTGAAAATCCAGAAATACGTTGGAAGCGTTGTGGTCTGTTGTACAATTTTTGCTTCGGAATAGAAGGATTGTATTCGTCATATCCGAAATTTAAAATTTATTGGGTCAGGATAACTTATTTTGGCTTCAGGTGTTCGAATATGGTTTTTTTGGACCACGTGCGGACGTATGTGTGGATGTGACCGATCGTTTTTCGACGGTAACTAAAAAAATAATTGTTTAAATGAATCCAATTGTGATTTAAAATATTCTTCCCAATGCCATCTCGATGGAGTTCGATCATGAGATTGATTGGATCATGTGTTAGTGGAAAAAATTATTTTGAAACCGATATTCAGGGAAAAGTAAAAAAAATTAATGTTGGGGCAATGCTGACTACTAACGTTGCGGCAATGTTGGGGCAATGTTGAATTCAATGAATCACTGAATTCAATGTAAAATACATCGTCACTGAAATTCGTCACTCGGAAGCAGATTGCGAATTTATTAGCAAAAATATATTGACTGTTACCTAAAAAAATAATTGTTTAAATGAATCCAATTGTGGCGTTAAGGCAATTTAACTCCATAGGAAAGGAATTTTCGAATTTATTAGCAACAAATATACTGACTATATAGCGACGAAGGCAACTCCCAAATATTTTCGAATTGATTACCCCCACACACTCTCCCTCGAAATAAAGAAACCGAGGATGTCATGAGTTTTGTGGAAAACGTACGTATCGATCCGTGTGGTTGCAATACCGGGGACCTCGACCTTGCTCCTTTGCCAAGGAACAACCCTCGCGTGTCCTAGTACATCGACCCCAGCTGTCCCCCCTCGATACCCATTGCCAGCAACCTGAGACGCACCAGACGCATTTTTATATCGTGTCTGGACGATCACCATTTTTTTTTGCTCCCCGCATCGATGGAATTGTGAGAATAGAGACTCGATCGAGTTAATGGAGAAATAGTGGAAAAGTAAAACGACAAGTCGAGGATTAATGAGGATTGTCGACGACATTCCACGGGTACTTGGAGGTATTATTGATCAGTCGACGGTTGCTGGGAGCAGCTGAGCCACCCTTTTCTTATCCACCCCATGAAGCTCATTTTCGAAACACGCACGTGGCCCGTTGCGCCCCCATTCACAACTCCCCCTAGTGAAGAATCAGTCCCACCGGAGGGAGCTTTTCAGCTGTTGCTATGGGGTTGAAGCATATTGGTACTTCGATGAAGTGTAGGCTGAAGCTCGACATACCTGATCAATACTTCTCTAAACAGCGCAGAGAAAGAAAAAAAGTTTTGATTCTCAGAGACATTTCACTGATTTCCGAATTTTCAGGAAGCTATCACCAATTCAGTAAAATCATCTCAGCTGACAGACAGAGTTATTTGTTGTTAACGAATAGATTTGTTTGGTCATGTTCAACTCTACCATTCGTTAATAGTTAACGAATCTCGTTTGGAATAAATGAATCAGTCTATCACTGTATTAAAACGGTTCAAGTTAATTTTGACTATTGACCTGTTTTCAATGAATATCTCGGAATCTAAGGGAGATGGCAAAAGTTTTGTTATAATCTTTTTTGCAGAGCCGATTGAGAGCTACAACAAATGTCATTACGAAAATTTCGCTATTTCCCTTTGATTCGGAAATATTCCTCAAAAACTCAACTGGGAGATAAGTCGACTTAAACCGGTTTAGCACTTCGCTACTCAATTGTTGGTCAATTGTTGATGATACTGGACACTGACGAGAATGATCCTGATTAGAAATGTTTATGCTTTTATAACTTAGACGAAATTTCTGGATTTTTCCCAGGAAAAAAAGGAATTGGAATTTTTATTTTCTGTGTGGGCGAGCGAGGATTTTTTTAAAAATCATTCTGGGAGTTCTGGGAAAGATCCTTGTGGAATGAAAATTGTTTATGTGACAGAGGTGATTGATTCCGAAAAATAATAGATGAGTACCTGAAACTCAGTGGCATTACTCAAAAATTACTGAAAATGAAAACTTTTTTCCTCTGCGAGTTTTTCTGGGAATAAGTTTATCCGGGGGACACCTCGATGACCCAGAGGTGTAGCTTGAAATGGAAATATTATTTTTTCATGAAAAGTTATTTCCGTTTCCCCCAGTGATAATTTATTTATGAAATGGAATTGGGTTGTAGATTTATCGAAAAACCGCTTTGGTGAGCTGCCTGAGGAGGTCACGGAGTTTCCATTTCTAGAGAAACTTCATCTGTACCACAATGCTATACGGGTCATACCAGAGACTGTTGTTATGCTGCAGTCATTGAGCTATCTCGATCTCAGGTAATTGGAGTGGAAATTGTAATGAGGAAATTAGGATGATTGGACGATTGTTTTAATCATTGCTTTTCTGATCAGTCGGAATCAGCTGACGTCATTGCCCCGGGAGGTATGCAGACTCCCTCTGCAAACACTCCTGGTTGCTCACAATCGTCTGGTATCACTGCCAGATGAGCTTGGGCGAATGACAGCACTCGCTGAGTTGGATGCCGGTTGCAATGAGATTGCTAGTCTACCACCCAGAATCGGGGATTTACCGAGGCTCAGATGGCTGGATCTTAGGAATAATATGCTGGTACATCTGCCTATTGGTGAGTGGATTTGTGGGATGATTTAGTCACGAAGGCGTGAACGAAGAAGTGAACTTCTTTTTTTCCTGGGAATTTACCCCGAAAATAACCGATTTCGAGAGGAAATAACAGGATTTTTTGGTTGAAATTATTTCAGGGACAAGAATGGCTCACTCTCTTGTAAAATTAATTGTTTTCTAGATAAGTGGAAAATTATAAAATTTCTGAATTTGAATGATTACGATTTACTCGAATTTTTAATTTCGCATTCTCTCGAAAATTAATGCAAATGAGAAATTGTTGGAAGAGCTTTGTTATAGAGAATTAAGTTTTCGACAAAAAATGAATGTCAGACGACAAAGAGATCAAATTGAAAATTTGAATTATGCATTTCACAATTTTTTTTAATTTTGAATGTATGCCAAATCATTTTTGCAAAGCTTTAAATTTCCAAAAAAAAAAAAAAAAAATGCCACAAACATTAAGATTTCAATTGCAGTTGTGAATTCCCCAACTTTTTAATGAATGTCAAAAACAAATGGTTTAAAAAAAATGTCAAAAAAATTAAATTTCCACCAAAAATTGATGGCTTCGTCCCGAATTATTCAATTCAATCGAAAAAACTGAAAGAAAAATGAGTTCACATCCTCAAGAATTCCGCCCCGAACCACTAATTCTCCCAAGAACCACCATTAACCCGATTATTACCCATTTCAGAATTGACGTACCTGAGACTTGTGAAACTGGATATAAGTGGTAATCGCATATCAGTCCTCCCAAATGAATTAAGAAAGATGAAGAGCCTGGTGGACCTGCGACTAGCCGATAATCCTCTCACCTCGCCACCTGCCTCGGTAACAAGCCAAGCCCCTCAATAAATCCCCAACTCCCCCAGTAATTTCCTAACTCATCGATTATTTCTCCAGCTGTGTATTCGCGGGCGAACACACATATTCAAATATTTAGAGAGACAGGCGGCGAAACACGAGAGGGCAAGATCGGGAAGAGTGAGGCGAAGTCCACTGGAGGCAAGAGGACACGCCACCCTGGACACACGATCCCACAGGCGTCACAATGTCGATAGTGGTTACAGCACAAGTGATGGGGTTGATAAGCGCTGGTCGCAAGAAATTCACAGTGGGGTCAGTTATTTCATAATTATCGCAACGGTTTCTTATTTAATCGTCGTTGTCTCCCCCTGGCGCCTCTACTAGTAGATTAAAAGTTTAAGTAGATATGATGTAGTATCGAATAAACACTTAATCCCGATGAAAACTTATCTCCATTCATTTATCAAAGGTGAATGAAACTGACTCGAGAAGTGGATGGCGACAAGAGTGCTCACCACTCTCGATTACCTTGCCTCATGACGTCAGTGTCAATGGATCGTTCAGTGGTACATCGACACCCAGCACTATATCTCCGGGGGAACGTACCTCCCTCGAAGATGAATTGGGAAAAGTTAGTATGATTTTTCAATTTTATCTTGTGATAAATGTTTTCTCTCAATCAAGCATTCAAAAAATCGTTCATTTTATTTCTTCAGCGATGGAAAATATTGGTATCTTTATCTTGATCAGTATTTTAACTTATCGGCTGGAATCAATTGTTGAGAAATGGAATTTAATGTTTAATTCTCTTCCTCTTGAATGCAGGATTACGGAAGTAATTCCGTGTGGAATCTATTGCGAATAATGGTTCAAAATTCTAAGAAACATAATTCGTTTTGAAAATGAAAAATTCATTTGTGAAAAATAATAAAAAGTCTGTCAATTCGTATTAAAATTCAATATAAACTGCTCAATCAGTATTTAATTGACGTTTAATGCTAAAAAATACTGTTTCCTTTATTTTGATGACTATTTGAGCTCTCAACTCAAATCAATTGGAAATTCGAATGAAATTTTGAATTCTCCTTCCAAAGAATTCTGAATTTCAAGATAAATTCCATGGGGAGGAAGAAAATTATTGTTTTGAACATTAAAAAATCATTTGTGAAAAATAATTAAAAACCAGTTAGTGCCCATTAAGATCAAATGTAAACTGCTCAATCAGTATTTAATTGACGTTTAATTATCTTCAGGCTATGATACTTCACGATCAGCTGCAGAAGAGGCGATTAGAGCGTAGCGCCTCGGAAAATGGGACTGATAACAAAAGACCAATGGCTCCTGCACTTCACAACAACTCTATCACACCACCAGGGTGAGAATAATAAAATTCCTTGTTGCATTGAATTTCACTCTCAAATGAATGATAATTAATGAATGATTATAAATAGTTCATACAATTCATTAATGCATGATTATAAATAGTTAAGAATCAAACACTATAAGCGCTATTAACTGAAAAAAGAAATGCACACTTCAATTTGAGAAAGATCCGTCTTAAATATTTTCCACTTGATTGTCGTATGCAGCAAAAAAAATAGTGTAAGCCTCTAATTATGAACGAATGAATGATATTCTATTGAAGAATTATTATAAATAGTTTATTTAATGAGTGAATGCATGATTATAAATAATTAAAATTCAAAAAATTATATTCAAAGTTATATTCAACTGCAAAAAAATGTTTCAATTTAAAAAAGGAACCGTGTTGAATAAGAAAAATATGCAAAGCTCCAATTATCAACGATAATTAGTCCAACGATTGAACAGGAACGATGAAAGATTGAGTTTGTGATATTTTCCAGAAATTTGGAGTCAAGTGGACTTTTAAATCAGTCTCCGTCACTGGGCTCGTCGCTCCAGTCGAGTCACGGTGTGACAGCTTCTCCAATAATGAATGGAGAGGAGAAGAGGCCCTTGAACCACACTCAAACGTACAGGTATGCGTCGAAATAAATTAATCCTCAAAACTAATTTGATAAACAAAATGAAATTCAATTAATTGTTCTGGAAATTAGAGAGTACAAGGAGGCACTGAGACAGCAGAGAGCCAACGAGGGGTCGAGTGTCTACAGACCAAAGGAGCAAATAACTCCACCAGGCAACGAATCACAGGGCAACGAACCAGACATGAACACGAGCGAGGGAATGCTGGGAAATAAGCAAATATTTAATGACGAGAATGGCACCAAGAGGCCTGTACAAAAAGTCACACCCTCGCGAATTCAAAATTACAATAATTCAGCGATTATCAATGGTAGTAATCTCGAGTACAACGGGAAGAATGGAAAGTACCTGGAGCAACCGTACAAGAAGCCAAATTCCCCAGTCAAAGGCTCGAGTGGGATTTTGTCCACGAATTCAAGTCCAGCACATGCCACGAGACTCGTTAAAACTGCTGTTGGATACGTTGAGGACAGTAATAAGAGCCCCAACAGGAATAATTTGAGCCCAAAGTCACCCAGAACTGTCACTTGGAACAGCAATATGCCTGAGAAGTATTCGTTCACTATGAGGAGGGAGTTTGAGAGGGCTAAGGAGGAGGCTGATTTGATTGAGCAATTGAGAACTGTGAGTTCATTTTATGGATAAGCAGCCATAATATTCTTGCACCCAGATTATTGATTAAAGATTAATTTATTCTCTATCAAGGATAAAGATTAAAGATTATAGATTTATTTATTTATTCAATTTTTTAATTTTACTTTAAATTCAATTTATTAATTGATTGGAGAATTACTCGCAGTTTCCAAAAATGACAATTTTTCAATTATTTCATCAATCTTTCTCCAAAAGTACACTTGCTATTTTTTTCCAGACTTTTAAAATATTTCTTAACGGTTCAATACCGGAATTCAAATTCAGACCTCCAAAGTTTAAATAATGAAAAATAACATAGTAAAATGTCCAGAACCTTCAGGTCAAATGGGGCTCAAATATAAAATAGCCTTAATCCAAGAATATTTATTCTTAAATGAGTTATTCTCATATTTTAAATTGATTTCAAATTGAAGAAGTCTATTCTCAATTTAAAAAGTTTTTCCAATGAATTGTTCTGTAATTATGGGATAAATGAGAGGATAATCCATTAAAACAATTTTTTAAAAACCCTTAATTGGAGGATTTTTTAATGTAATTATGAAATACTCCGTCAAAATAATTAAATTTCTCTTCTTTTGAAAATAGAACATCGAAACGAGATTGAAGATGGCTTTACCCGAGGACTTGGCACCAGCTCTGACAGATGGTGTTGTCCTCTGTCACCTTGCCAATCACGTCAGGCCCCGTTCAGTTGGAAGTATTCACGTTCCATCACCTGCAGTTGTGAGTTTCACGCATTCTCGCATTATCAACCTCAATAATGTTTTTCAACACTTTCATTAATGACGTTTAACATTTTTTACAGCCAAAACTCACAATGGCCAGATGCAGACGCAACGTCGACAACTTCCTCGAGGCCTGTCGAAAAATAGGTGTTGACGAGGTAATTACCCACAAATATCCCCTATTTTTCATTCCTCTGAGACATATTTCAAGAGACTGTGCTTCTAGCCATTGGCACTTTATCTTTTAAACACCATACCATGCATGAAAATTCAATTCTTGGGCATAAGTCCGTCAACACCTCAAAATCATGAGACAAAATCGATGAAATTTTCGTAAACTCATGGTGTACCCTTCTGTGTTTAACGATACCAATAAAAAGTCATTATCATTCATCATTTCCAGAGAAAAATAAAAACTAGAGTTACGTCTGATATTTTAACTTCTCAAAACTGCTGTGCATTTTGTGTCAATCATTTTATTCCACATTATCACATACTGTATTTCCAACAACTACTAGTCAGTCCCGAATACTGTACGTATCAATCGAAAAAAAGTGGGCGGGGGGAGGCGGGTGGGGCGATAAAATGCTGAGGAATAATATTGAGATAAAGCTTTAGTTGCATGCGCATTAGATCGAATTGCTTCTGTGTCACATTGCTTATTATCTGGGATTATCCTGGAACCTTGACGTTGTGCTATTTCTTAATTCATCCTGAATTACCATTCACGGATTTTTGTAAATTACCATCATCTCATTATGATCTCATAGACAATAATCACCACTAAATCATCCACAATGATTAATAAAGACCATTCACCCACATAATCAACGAATAAATCAATCAATGAGTCAAAAATCCTCGAATAATGAATAATAAATTAACTTGTATCCCATGAATAGTTCATTTCATAATGACTAAACCTTGCTGAGCACTCAATTGACCACTAAATAATTAATGAATAAAGTAGAGTCGTTGGACAAATGGAATAAGGGGTTTTCACTTCACAGTGATGAAAATTGAAATTAGAGGAAAAAAAAAATGGGACTGAGTAGTGTCGTTGTTGGTTACAGGAGGTGTTAATGGATGCGGATGCAATCATGGACGTGGGTTACATGAACGCGTGCGGGCTCCAGGCTCTGGCGTGTCTCGTGTCAACTCTTCTTCCATTGCGACGCGGTGAAGAGGCTAACGAAGAGCCAGTCCCAGGTTCACACCGTACGATACAGGAGCGCGTCCTAACCGCGATGCTTTTAGCTGTATTTTTATCAACATTGGCTCTGCTCTATATCTTCCCAGTGCCTGATTAGATTATACCAGGCGATTCTATGCGATTTTATCAGAGCCAAATTCATGATCATCAAATTTCATCAAAATCCATCTAATGATTCTTCGATTGTGAGAATTATTTTGAACACTTTTGAGGCACCTCTTGGTGGAAGAAAATTTTATTTTTGTTAAGTAGTGCAGCTTTAGTTATTTAGTTGACTCATTATGGAGAAAATCAAGTTTCTAGAGCGAGAAATACTGAATAAGAGAATTTTTTATAATAGAGATAAAAGTTTCGATTGAATTAAGAAAAATAAGAATTGAGAACTTATCACTTCGTTCATAATGAAATGAATGCCTTCCAGAAGCACGAGTTATTTTTTATTGAATGGAATCCCTTGTTTTTCTGAAACTAGAAGCTTCTTTTCTCTGTAATTAATGCACCATTTGGCTTACGATGGCCTACGAAAGTGTTTCATACGCAATAACTATCGAATTTCTTGAAAAGGTGCTTAAACAACAAGGCTGTTACTTTAGGTTGTTCATTATCATCAGAAAGTTAATTGTACTTGAATTTTGAGGCATTTACCCTAGTGCTGCAACTGCGGTTGTGCATTTATTTGTTTAATTTTTAATGAGAAACAGCATTCGCTAGATTTAGGGTTATTAGTGGGAATATCGTAGGTGTTTTTTCATCATGATTGATAGTGTAAAATTTTTTATACGATCTAATCAAAATTAAGCGATTAATCACAAGAATGAAATAACTGCATTGCATTTATTACTCGATGCAGATCAAAATGATGAATGATAAATTGTATGAGGGGCATATCACCTATATATATTCGACAAGGAGATGTCTTGAAAATTATATATTTTTTGCTAATTAATAATCGTAATCAAAACGGCAGGTACCACTGTAGGAAATGAAAATTATTTCAAGAATTTTCAGTTATTTCGTTGACAATAATTCTCGGTGCAGTGCATTGGGCGTTAAATCAAGCGAATTGTGAGTGACTCATGCTCGCAGCTGTGTTTAGTCTACAAAGTTAGTTTTCCATTAAATTTTTTTCATTGGTAATTGGATGAGCGACGACGGAAGATCTCGCTGTTTGATCATTGGATAATATTTATTTCATATGAAAGCTTCTCAATGATAAAGGTATATATGCATGGAGCTAAAGGGGAGTTTGGGAGTCTCTCGTATATTTAATTATCTTTCTTTATGAGGCTTCAGTAATTAACGGTTGAATTACACTCGGATTTATGATGTTGCAGCATGCGATTGTACTTCATAACGGGAAGTCCAGTAATTTATGCATTTTTTTTCTTCATTTTTTCGCCTTTTCTTTCACATTTTGTGTTACGTATTTATGCAATTTCCGTCTCTAGTCCCTAATTTATTCCTCTAGTCAGTTTTTTTCAACAAAATTATTCAGTATCAGAACTATTTATCACGATTTTTTGATTATACATTGAATTCTTAATCTCATGAAGTGAAAAATGTACTTAAATTGTTCATGGGAGCACAATGACAGTATTACAATTGGCAGATTTTGTGTCAAACACTGTACAAGCCGATCTGAAAGACTGCTTTTGTTTTTTTTTTTTCGTTTCTCAACGAACCCCACAAATTAATTTGATAAGCAATTTGTACTTAATGAGGAGGAAAGATCATTCCTTGGTTTACTTAGGTGATAATTATGATGTACTGCGCAAAAGTCGAATGTAATTCGCGATTAACATTCGTACGTGCGTCGAGATTATCACGAGGTTTTCCCTTTTTAGCATTAATTTTCTTTGTGTATTTATTCTCTCCCAAAGTTTTATCGTATTTATATTGATATTGCGTCTGCGGTTGCCAGTATCTCGATTCATTTCTTTTTTGAGGGCTCAGCATTACATTGTAACGTTCATTGTATTGGGTATAACAATTATTGTAATATCGTCTTTGATAATAAAATATTCTTCGATACAATCTAGTGATTTTTCGGTTTATGTGAGGATTTTTGAGGAGAATGGAGAATTTAATTTAATTTATTTCGACGAGGGGGTGCAGGTGGATTTAAAGTTTTGGAGATTCTCAAATTTCTGGAAATTTTGTGAAATTCACGAAATGTCACATTCCGCGAATGTTTGGAATTTTTCTGAGAGTTTAATGGAATTCCAATTTTTTCAAGCAACAAAGAGACGGAAATTCTCGAAATTACTAAAATTTTTAATCAAAACATGAATATTCGGTACCACATTTCACTGAATTTGTAATGAATTGAAAATTCCAGAATATATATATCAACATTACCCTGATTTCTATCCATTTTCATGGAATAATTGAACTAAAATTTACAGTTTCCATCGTTTTCTCCCTCAAATAGTAATTTTTTAATAACGAATTCTTATGAAATTTCAATGGAACTCATTGGATAAAAATTTCCAAGAAATTACATAAAATCTTCTGTGAAGAAATTCATAACATTCTGCAGTATTTTTTAAAATTCCATTGGAAATTTATCCCAAAATTCTGATGAAGTATTAAATGGGCAAATATGTGAACAAAAAAATAGCAATTATCTCAATTTCATGAATTCAAAGAGATCTTTCCGCAATATGAAATCTCTCAATCCTTGAAAATATATAAAATACCTGCCTCAAACACATTTTTCAAATTTCGTAACATCCAGTATACAAATTTTCTGACAAATTACCCTTTCGATTTTTTTCAAGAAAAATAGGTGAATAATTTCGCTTGAATAATTTGTGTTACAGAACTTAGTCTGCTGTGCTAGTGACGTACTAGAAGGTGGTCGTGGAGTGGTGCGTGTAGCAGTGACAGTATCCGAACTGCTGCGATTTCATCAAACCCGTTCACCAATGACAGCAACCCCCCCAATAATGAATAGCCACATGACAGCTTAGCGCCAAACTATATAATTTTAATTGTCATAAATCACTTATCCCCAAGCTCAATACCACCTGGACGTTTAACTGACGTTCTCAGGTGCTAATTATTCAAATCAAAAGAGAGAAATAATCGCGATTGAAATTCAGGGGAGTGTGAAACAAAATTAACACTTGACTATTATCAGAATAACCTGTTAGTCGTGAAAAAAAAACTCATTGACAAAAGGGGCGTTCATTTCTCACATTATGAATGCTACGGACATCTGGAAAAGTCAAGTGTTAATTTTTTCCCCCTCTCCCCTATCAAAAAGACTGGAGTGGCGAGCCATGACCCTAGTATACTAATTAATCTCTCCATTAATTGCTAATGGAACAACTCAGAGCATTACGTACGGTGTACGTAATAAAACATGACAGTGATTCTGATAATTATAATTTTCGTCTTCAAATAATGAGAAAAAAAAAGACGAGTGTATCAGTGTACGGTAAAGCAACGAAGTCGGTAAACTAGATAGGAAACTGTATGAAAATAATTATCAGACTGCCAGCTATCGATAAAGTTGTATTCACAGGGTGCCTAGACGGCCCCCTGACCCTCAGCATTATCCTTAAAAAAATGTCAAAAAATTGAGATAACGAGAAATTTATATTCATCGATAGATTCCTAGACATAAGCTCGACGCATAAATAGTGATTTTTTTATCAATTGAAAATAAAACTGCCAGTGCGAATTCGTAAAACGTGTAACGCATAATCGTGGTAAACCACTTTGAGGATCTCAAGCATAATTATTCTGTAGAGTATTAATGAAGAAAATTCAAAAGAATAATCATCAATTTATATATTTTCGCAATGACAATTGACTAGACGAGTGGATTTTGGGAATGTGAATCTAATGAAAATGGCTTGATGCATTATTTATTGTGCCAAAGATTAAGATACCCGTTCGGTAATCACAGGTACTCGAGAAAGATATCAAATCGTTCACAGAAACTTCACTCAATGTATCAGTAAGAATGTTCACAGATTTTGCGATCTATTTTTTGTTGAAATTTATTCATCACGACTTGTTCTCAAATTTCTCCACTGAAAAACGGTTCAATTTATGTTTTCTTCGTCACGGATCAAGTGTTTGTGCACTCAAATTCTTATGATAATATATTACGAACGATGGGGATTGAGATTTGTAAGAAGGAAAAGCCAATAAAGAAATCTTGACGAATTAATCTTTTTGAGTAATTTGTAAATCTGGCTCAGTTATTTCCAAATGAAAATCCTCCCCATAATTTTCACCAACGCGAAGGGTATAAAACACTCGCAGGAACCTTACGAGGTCACCCATTTCAATCATAAACTCATCAATTCAACAATGAGTTAATTTCGTACTGTTGGATTCAATTGTTGACAATTTTTAACAAAAATGGTATTTGATTGATCTTCATAAATTAAGACCTTCCCTTCGGGTCGTTCACACATTGTTGAATTCAATCCTCAATAATTTTTTTTTTCAAGGAAAAGCCTATAAAGAAATTTTGACTTGATACATGAGCCTCAGTCATTTCTAAATAAAAAGCCCCCCCCCCAACCTCATCCTCATCACCTTCAGGATATAAAACCCTCAGAGGGAAAATCCCGCAAGGTCACTCACTTCAATTATAAACTCATTAATTCAACAATGATTTACTGTCGTATTGTTGGATTCAATTGTCAACAATTCAATTATCCTTTTATGTCATTCACACATTGTTGAATCCAATCCTGAACCGTTCTTTCCCCGGAGGAAAAGCTTATAAAGAAATTTTCACGAATTAATCCTTCCAGATTGCATGTAACTCAATGACTCTCATATCAACCCGCACATCGGCCATAAAAAATACGAGGAAACGACCCCACAAGGTCAATCACCTCAATTATTCACTCATCAAATCAACAATAACTTCTTATCTCGGTGTTAAATTTAATTCTCAAGAAATTCTAAGGAAAGGCATGTAATTTTGACGAAATGGTTCTTTTAGATCGTTCGCAGATCAATCTCAATTAATTCCAGAGATTTTACATGACTGAGACACCCCTCAACCACATCATCTTCCTAAAACCTTTGAGAACCCTAACGGATAATCCCAGAAGGTCAATAACCTCAATCATCACCTCAACAAACGAACAATGACGTAACAAAAGAGAACTCCATTGTTCCTAACAAAATTTTGTCAGACTAACCCTTTCAGCTTCTATCATCCCCACCCTCACATCAACCCTAAAATCAACCTAATAAATCGGGCGGGATGGAGCCCAAAAGTGAATAACCTCACTTATAAACTCACCAAATCAAAAGTTTAATTCCATCAAATTCTAATCAATATTCAACAGAAAAAGCCTCTCCACCCCAACCAGATACCCCCCAACCCCCTCACCCCCCTAAAAACCCTCAAAATACCAAAGGGATAATTCCCCAAGAACAATAACCTCAATCATCACCTTAACTAACCAACAATGACGTAACAAAAGAAAACCCCATTGTGGATAATAAAATTTTGTCAGACTGACCCTTTCGGCTTCTCTGTCACCCCAACCCTCACATCAACCCCTTCATCAACCCAATAAATTCAGCGGGATGAACCCCAGAAGTGAATAACCTCACTCATAAACTCACAATAAACTCCTAAAATCAAAAACTTAATTCGATCAAATTCTAATCAATATTCAACAGAAAAAGCCTCTTCACCCCAACCAGACACCTCCCAACCCCCTCACCCCCCTAAAAACCCTCAAAATACCAAAGGGAAGATCCCCCAAGATCAATAACCTCAATCATCACCTCAACAAACCAACAATGACATAACAAAAGAAAACCCCATTGTTGATAATAAAATTTTGTCAGACTGACCCTTTCGGCTTCTCTGTCACCCCCACCCTCACATCAACCCAAGAAATTCAGCGAGATGAACCCCAGAAGGGAATAACCTCACTCATAAACTCAGAACTTCTAAAATCAAAAACTTAATTCCATCAAATTCTGATCAATATTCAACAGAAAAAACCTCTCCACCCCAACCAGACACCCCCCAACCCCCAAAATACCCTCAAAATACCCAAGGAATGATCCCCCAAGGTCACTACCCTCGATCATCACCTCAACCTCACCCCTCAACAAAGAACCGCCAAATGATTCCCCAACTGTCCCCATCATTAACCCCTAAAAAATGACAATAAGCACTCACCACCTTCTGCACCCCTCGCTCTCCAGCCCCCTCTCCAGTAATGACCCCAGATGACAAAAGCCGCATCACACATCCCCTCACTTCACCAGTGGGCGTATCCCACGCCGCCATTTTCTAAAATGGGGGCGTTGATAACGAGGGAAAGGTACCTTCCCTTCTCTCGTTATACCGACAACATTGACTCGCTTAACCTCACGGCGGTAGTTGTCCAACTCGCGGGGGCTCGCGAGTCGTCAGGTAAACCGCCAGCCGGTGGGAGCGCGTGCACAATCTGTCGGGCCGGTCTCCATCGACACGATACACAACACAATCGTCAACATTTCACTCATCACCACGAGCGTTCAATTGTCGACTGAACGAAAATAAATCCCAGTGATTCAGTCCCTCAACCATTCGCCCAAACAATTCCGTTCCAATTCTGTTCCATTCCCCCGTGTTTTGTTTTCGTTGTTGACTTCGCGTCGACCCCCCGCGGTTGTGTTTACACCAGTGTTCATGCTAATACTACTCTCACAATCCGAGTTAGTCGTTCAGTCAGTCCCAGTGATCAGTGGCAATCGGAGGTGCGGACAATCAATGAAATTAACCGGTATCGATTGAATTGTACTGTCGAAAATTCGTGGTTGAATCGAGTTCTGGCCTTTAGCAACTTGAGATAACGCTTGAATATCCATTACTAATGAGTTATTTGTGGTGATTTGTGGATTAATTGAGGTGGGGGACGCTATGAGTGAAAGAATCTATGTGTGCCGTTCCCAAATCACTCCGATTCTCAACAAAATTGAAGAAAAAAACGGCTCAACATGTGTGCACGGTACTTCCTCCGCTCCTAATTAACGGAACACGGTGAATCTAATTAGTCCCCGAAGGCAAGTGGATTGACGTTATCAATATTTTCATTCCCTATTTTTTTTTTCACTCGAGTCACTGTCGCGCGTCGACACGGCCCGTTGGATCTCCAACTAGTGGTGAAAAAAAACGATAGAAAAATTCACAAACGAGTCTTGAAATAATGAAACAATGATCGAAATGTTGAAAAATGTGTTTGTGAGGAATGATAAATTTATTATCGCAAAAAACACGTGCAATCTGGTGTCATGAGTCGAGACAATTCATGTTTGACACTTATCAGTGGTACATCAGTCGAGTTTTTCGGTAATATCGGTCAGAGTAATAATCCATCAGTGGATAATCAGATGGACCTCAGCACGACAACGCGACGCCCGCCGGATGCCGGCGCTGCTGATCACATTGTGCAGAAGGCAACGGGTAATCATCGAGTGGCTAAGAGTGTCTTCAGTATACGGAGTCTCGTGGATGTCGAGGATGCTGAGTTGCCCGGTAATGACGAGGGTAATCGTGGCTATGGTGAGTGAACTTGGTACTTTGTGCATTGCTGAGATGTGTGACAAAAATTGCCGGCCAAATAACGATCAATGACCAGTGTCATGACCGGTAATTATCACGCCGAGAATCTGACCATATGGTCAGAACGAAAATGACCTTTTTAGCTGAAATTTCCGATACAGTTTTCGGAAGTTTTTATCGCTTTCAAGTTTCACTGCATTTTCAAGGAATTTCGTCATTGAAAATTATGGATTCCGGGGAAAAATCCATGAGAACTGTTAATTTTAGCGCAATTATTCCCTGAAACTTAATAGATAACGCGAAAATTTCGACAAATATATTCTTGAATTTTTAAGTAGTGGAAACTTCAGGGGATTTTGACACTAAGTATTTGTGTTTTTGTTGAAGAATTCTCGTCTTTATGCTTCTCAAAATTTGGAATTTTACTGAATTTTCAATGAAATCTGAAATTTCATGATTTCTTTTCCTTAAATTGCATTTAGTGGCTGAAATTTGCTAGTTAACTGTCTCTGAAATTTAATTTTTTTCTATCATTGAGAATAGGGCCATTAATAAGGGTAATAATTAATAAATAATAAATAAAATCCTAAATGATTACAATTAATAAATAAAGTAATAAATATTTTGATTCCATTAAAAAGTTTTCCGATCGAGCCCTTAAAAAATGATCCCAATGATCTCTGGTGTATTATTTAATTACTGATGAATTACTGATGAAACTTTGTTTTCACCTTAAAAATGCAAAAAAATTAGGATAAAGAGGCATTATCTATCGTCAATTCCTCAGTTACCGCGGGGTTTCATGAAAAATGGAAAAAAAAATTCTTGAAGGAGTTATTGAAACGATAATCATTATCAAAGTCATAATTTATACTTATTTTTTTTCTTCGCTTAATCTCGATAGTCTAAATACCTCAGACGTTTGGAGAGTCAGGGGTTTTTTAAAGAAGTTATTGAAGAGTCCAATTGTCGAAGTCACGCGAGTGTGTATCAATGTGTATTTGAGGGGTGCCACACACCGACAAAAGGGTACAGATATATGTTAAAGTTTTGAGGTATATCGTTCGCATGTACGCGATAACCTGTATTACTTTACTTTTCAAGTGGAAATAAATACGCGAATTACCATTTAACCACATGGAGTGATAAGGTAAACGGTGTGGGAATGCTAACGGTGATAGGGAAAATTTCATTCCAACGTTTTTTGGGGGGAAGCGAGGGGGAGGGGGCGGCTTATCGCGCCAGGGTCTTGAGGATAATTGACGGTTTGCTCGGAGATAATTAACGAGTTATTGATTCTGGGGCTTTTTCGCGGAGTATTGTTGCAAACCATTTTCACAATGTATTCGTTTCTGTGTGTTGCATGAGATGGAGAGGAGTGGGAGAGAAAAATTCAAATATAGGGGCGGGTGGGGTGGGGAGGGATGGACACTTTAGATTTTTTTTTAATTGTTCATAACTCAGAAACAAATTTATCAATTGAGCTCAGTTTAGGCTCGTCACAAAGGGAAGGAATTATTCTTTTTATTGGAAAAAAAAATTATTGAATTTCATTAACATTTCAACCCTTCATTAATATTTTTAAAAAAGTCAAAAGTGTCCGTTTTACCCCAACCTCCCCTACTTTTTTTAAAAATGGGGGAAACATTTATAAGATTATTTATAAGATTTTAAGCGATCAAACAGTGAGTTGATGATGAAATAAGATATTTAACATCAAGATACGACTGAGATTTAATTTAAAGGGTTTTTAACGGTTATAAGGGTCAAACAATCAGATTTCTCGAGGGCAAAGGCTTTGCACAGGATTTGAAAATATTTTGACTCTAGATTGAGCTCAATCTTTTGCTGGTTTCGACTTTATTATTCATTTTATTTTCATGAGAATTCTCTTGAAAATTTGTAACCAAACTTCGGAATTTTGATTCAAGCCAGAAAATTTTGCAATAATTTTATTATTCGAACATTAAAATATCGATTTTGATTCTCTATTTTGAACCGTTGAAAAACAGTCTAAAAATCTGAAAAAATTCTGCTTTTTGAAATACAGCCATAAAATAATTCAAGAATTGAGACTTCAGAAAATTGCAATCTCTTTAAAAAATAACTAAAAATGAAATAATTTTAATTAATCAATTATTCATTCACTAATTGAGAATGTTTAAAAAATATTCATTTTTCCAAAACTCAACTGTCCTTAATTTTTCCAAATTTTCTCACCCAACTAAATTCCCAAACTGAAAACTTGAAAAAATCACTTAAATCTCCTTAATTCCCCCTAATACCGGCCATTTCCTCAGCTCTGCAGAATATTTTCCTTAATTAACAAAATTTCCTCATTACCAACAACCATCACTTCTCATTCCCCCCAACATATTCCCCTCGTTTAATCAGGAATAGCATTGCCTGGTTTTTTTAAAATCACGCTGGATGATACTAATTGCACTAAAAAAAACGAGAGAAATGCATGGTTAAAAAAAATTAAAGGATGGACGAAGCGAATGATCGGCTCACCAATAATACGTGGCAAGACCAGATCATAAATAATCTCGCCTGGAGGGGGCTTTTACGCGTGCGTTATACGCGCCTCCAAGTCCCTGATTGGTTGACCCGAGAGCCGCTAATTGTGTTTTATTAGCGCTCACCAAGCACTCCTCCTCCTTACGGCCACTAAAACAATTTTCTTTTACTCTTTGCGAGGGTTTTTTTCCCCTGTTCAATTCGACATCTGCCCCCTCCCCCCCTTCCCCCATTCCCCTCCCCCATTCTAACAAAGCACAAGTGCGGAATGAAGATGAATAAAATTGTTGAGTCAAATGAGACTTTGAATTACTTCCGAGAAATAGTTGTTGCTCCATTAGGAATCATGTGTTGTCATTTTTATCGTATCATTTCGAAATATCATGTTGGTAGCTGATAATCATTAGAGCGATTTAACTAAGCGCAAATGAGGCTTTGAATTATTTCTAAGAAATTGTTGTCTCAGAGTTCCTTAAGAATCATGTTTTCTCGTTTTTATTGGATCATTTCGAACTGTCGTGCTGATTATCACGCAAATGATGCATTCAGAAGCGTCAAGGGATGCCTCATGATCACAGAGAAATGAATAAAAAAATGTTTGATGTGCGGGTGGTTTATACAATAGGCCATAAACACAACGTTGTAAAACCCTTGGGTTGGTATTCTTGCGTGACGACGGTATTAGCCAATTGGCCCATTAATCGCTCCGTCGGTTCGAGACAGCCGAACGCTTCCATTTTGAGGAAGTAATTGCTAATCGCTAATTGCAAGTACAAACACTCCATCCAATTAACTGGAGCCGTGCGTAAAGGGCAGTGTTGTGAATATATTATGAGTGCGTGTTTGTGAGTTGTAGGGGTTGCATCGAATCATCGGTGCAACGTTAAAAAATTGGTATTGAAATTTTCCATTGAATTTACTGGTGAAATTATTTAATATTTTGGGAATTATACTGAGGGAACATTTATTTACGTCAAAAAAATTAGTTTGAGACGAGAATTTGAGGGGAAATCTCATTAGTTTGTTCCAAATTTATTTGTATGGCAGAAATAATTTTTTTATGTTCTGAATTCTCAATGAGGGAAAAATTTATTTATGTAAAAAAATTAGTTTGTGGTAAGGATTTGAGGAGAAATTTCATTAGTTTCTTTCAAATTTATTTGTTTGGCTTAAATAATTTTTTGATCCATTGTTCTGAATTCGCAATGTTGAATGTAATATTCAATTTTTGTGATTAATTTTAAAGTTCAAGCTGTTGTCAAAATATTAATATTCAGATATTCAGTCATCATAGAAAACTCTGTTTTTATGAATAAAGTATTAGTTGTTGTTGAAAACTATTCAACAACGACTAATTTACGAAATATTGAATATTGAATAATATTTCAATTTACAGGGCCATATGACGATGAAAATTATGAAAAATTATGAATATTTTGTAAATTATACTGAGGAAAAAATTTATTTTAGTCAAAAAATTAGTTTGAGACAAGAATTTGAGTGACAATTTTATGAATTTGTCATAACGCATCGTTTTGAATTCTTAATCTACTTTACATTCAATTGAATAAAATATTCGATTTTCACGATTAATTTGAAAATTCAAGGTTTTATCAAACCATTAATATTCCACTTATCACAAAAAAACCTCCATTTTGCTGAATTGAATCCACTAGACATTCACTCCCATTCAAAGATGCCCATCACGATTTACACGTTCAGTGAAAAATAATTTCCCAATAAAAAATGATCCTCCAATTACTCACCATCGGCCAATGCCTAATTTATTGATTGACACCCTAGAATAACTTACCACTAATTTATTTTCATCCCGTGTGCATAATCACAAGAGCAACCACGTTAAATTAAAAATGTAAAAAAAAAGAGGAAAGAATACGATTATGGAAAAAAAATTAATGAGCAATAAATAAGACTGGCGTTTCGTTTTTCTTAATGAAGTTTTGGGGGCCCAGCGGAGAAATTTAGGAGAAAGGGAAGACCCCTTTCGATCAATTAGGGCTAATAAATGGGTGCTGAGGAAAAAACCAGGATGAGAAGAGTGGGGTATGGGTATTAAAGGTGAGGGTGGAATGAGACGGGCCACGCGGCTCTGTGGGTTTATGCTATTAAAAATGTAAATATCTCCTGGCGGCCTCGTTATCGGATGTAAATACGGCGCGAGCCGAAAAAAAATCCCCACCTCATCCCTCTGCCCTCACCAATGTGTCTTGGTCCTTTGTGTGTCTGTTATTTATTTCCCAGGATCGTGTCACATTCAACTTGTTAATGGCACGGTTTTTAATATCTCTCGTTGGTCGAAAAATTCAAAATTGAATATTTGAAAAAAAAAATGTGAAGAGAGTAATAAGAGAAGTATAAATAATGTAAAGTAATAATCATCGATGTCCTGAGGCGAGCTTTATATAGTATATACTGTTGACCTCACAGTCGTTTTGCGTTTGGATGTTGAGATCTCCTCT